CAGCATTGAGTCTTCCCTGCTTTCTCATAGCCCCAAACATAAGGAGATAAAAATAATCTGAAAATGCAGGGAAACGTCAGATTGCGAACAGATTTAATCTTGAAGTCAGGGACTCACTAGTTCCCTGTGAACTATTGCTTAAAAGACTTGAGAGATGGCATTTTAGTGTGTGTGAAGCTGGAATGTGGCTGCTGCCCTGAAGAAACACTGTGTGCTGGTGTCTCTCTTTGGCAGATGACCTCAATATTGGTGGGATAATCGGGGGAGTCCTGGTGGTCCTTGCAGTCCTGGTGCTCATCACTTTTGGGATCTGCTGTGCCTACAGAAGGGGATACTTTGCAAATGGCAAAGAGAGTGGGGAAAGGTAAGCTGGGCTTCTTGGACAACTCCCTGCACCCTCAGGTAGCATGGAGGAGTCTGAAGGGTGCCAAAAATTAGTGGCTGAAAGGAATTTCAATGCCTAATTCCCCACCAAAGTCCTCAGGCCAAGCCAGTCCCTGAGGCTTCCAATGCCCTGCTGTAAAACCCTGCAGCATCCAGATTTATTTCATGGAATAATCACAGAATCCCAGAGTGAATTGGGACCTTAAAGACCATCCAGCTCCAATCCCTGCCATGGACAGGGACATTTTTCACTAGACCAGGCTGCTCAGAGCTCCATCCAACCTGGGCTTGGACCCTTCCAGGAATGGATGGCATTTTCCCAAGGGAGAATTGTGGTGTGGATGAGAGCTGTGCTCTGACACCCACCCTCATCCTTTGCATGGAAAGGGGGCCCAGCACAATGAAATGCCTGCAGGTGTTTGTCCAGCAGCTCCTGTGCTGCTGGCATAACGAGAGCCACAGTTTAATGATCTCAGCTCGCTGCCTAATTAGTCTGAAGCATCAGGACATGCATAGGGAATGGATGCAGCAGAGCAGGCTCTCCACAGAAAGTCTCACTAGTTGTGAGGACCTAAATTTGGGATGAAAAACAGCCATTCTGGAGTGCACATGAAAATGTTAAAAACAACAGCATTAGCATCAGAGACAAGCCTCAATGTCCTTACAGAGTCTGGAGAGGAGATAATATATGCAAAGCCAAGATTCTCACCAGATAGATTTGTTCTGTGCTAAATGTTGCTTTTCAGCACAAGTCCTGTCTTGTTTTTCTCATTGGTTTCGTTTGTTTTTCAGAAAAAGCTCTAAATATGCCATTTAAATGCAGCTGAGGGTTGGCACACACTGGACTTGACAGTCTTGTATAAATCCTGAGTTCCTGTGGGATTGCAAACAAGTGGTGCTTCCTTGTAACTAAGAAAAATGCTGAAGGCTTCTGGCAGTGAAGGATTAAAATGAACTTTATAATTGCCACAGGAAACAGAGCAGGAGGCACAGAAAGGCAGTGACAGACACCAAAGCAGGAGAGCCCAGGAAAGAATCAGTTTATCTCTTTGCAGAGTTTTAGGAAACACACAGCAATCTTTTCACCCTGTGCTGAAGGGGAATTTAGACAAAATCCCAGTCATGGTAAATGATGGAACAAACACAGATCTCTCATTTGGGAAACAAACTGGGTTTCTCTCTGCTTGTTTCTCCCTCAGCTCCTCCTCCTCATTCCCATCTTTCCCAGCACCTCCCCTCCAAAATCCTGCAGTCTTCCTGTCCCAGAAATGAGATTTTTTCCCTTTCTTTCAGCTACAAGACTCCAGCAAAGCCTGATGGCGTTAACTATATCCGGACAGATGATGAGGTACCAACAAATGCTTTGCATTTCCATCTCTGGCAGGAGAGGAGGAGGGTGGGCAGAGGACGAGGCGCTGGCGGGGCCCACAGAGTTTGTGAGAGTGGGCTCCACTCCGAAGCAGGGCTGGGGAACAGCGGGAAAACAGAAGGGTGAAGGCTGAGTCATTTCCTTAGAAATGATGAACAGCTGAAGTTGCCTGAAGTGACTGATGCCAGGAGCTATCAGAGGCAGCTCTGCTCAGTTATCTCGTGGCCTGACCCCCTTAGGATGAGTTTCATTGGATTAAGTGGGCAGGACGTGATGCTTTTACGAGAATTTGTATTTTGGGATTTGAGTAGATCACTGAGCTTAAGACCAGAAAAAGCCTCTCCCATTAGCAGAGATATCAGTGAGGGAATGAGAAAGTCCCTGCCACGCTTTGGTGTGTGAGGAGGACGAGGGAAGGAGCACCTGGCCAGTGGAACTGGTGCCTCCCTCCTCTTCCCAGTGGGAAATGGGAGCTGCCTGGGCAGGATCCTTATGGTTACACAGACTGGATCCACCTTTTGGGGGCAGAAGGAACAGAGAGCTGCCTGGAAAGCTGCTGGATCCTTCCTACATCCCAAACTGTTTCTTTGCAGGGCGACTTCAGACACAAGTCTTCATTTGTCATCTAAGACGCCAAAAGGAAATTGCAAACCAGCAAAAGCAAGTGTGAAAATACCTCCTCCAGGAACTCAAAGCAAGAGCAAAAGATTAATTAAGTGCGCTTGGAAGAGTTTGGAACACACAAGAACTCGATAGCTAGCTATCTGTATATCTTTTTTTTTCTTTGCCAAAGTTTAAAGTAACTCCTCACTGCCCAACTCGCGTCTCCCCTGCCTCTGGAGATACCAACAGGATCACCCAAACCTGTCCTTGGACTGAGGAAAGGTTTCAATCCTTCCCAAGAGGCTGGGCTGTGGAAGTTTGTGGAATTGCCTTCTCTTTGTGCTGCAGGGACACAACCACAATGTGCAAACCCAGCAGGGGCGCAGCATTAGGTAAACCTGTCATAGACACGAGCAGTAACGTGTTACCAGTAGACAAAAAAAAGGTGCTGTTACAGCAGTAGATGGACTTCAAAGAGTGAGATTTGGGGGACTTCCTCCCAACAGCTCATTGCCCAGGCCTGGCTGGTGACTTTTCCACATCTGTGATTGTCTTGTGCTCGGCTCTGACTGCTCAGGTGCACAGGGGGGTCTGTGCCCAGCCACCAGTGACAGTGAAAACACCACTAATGCCCTCAGCCCTTCTGTAACCATCCCCAGATGCTGTTGTTTAACAGGACCCCCAGGGCAGGGCTCTGCCTGTGCTCCCTGCCTGGCAGGGCTCCCTGCACGCAGGTAACCCCTCGTTCTAATCTGCACAAAGCAGGCTTGGCTCCTGCGTCTTTCCGTGGGCAAAGAGGCTTAGAGGGGAGGCAGAGAACCAGTGCTAAGACATCCCTTTCAGGAAAATTAAAGCCAAATAATTTCCTGGGCTAAGATTGCCATAAAAGGTACTGAGAGATCCTCCAGCTTTTTTTACCTTCTCCGTTTATTTTGTAAAACCCCACCTTCTAAATTTTTTGCAAAGATCTATTTTGATTACTTCAGAAAAGGTAACATTTCTATTTAAAAGTGTAAATATGTGATGCCAGCAGTGTTTGAGTAACGGAGCTATTTTTTTACTGTTGAAGCTACAAGAGAGGAGCTCACACGTTGCTATAGTGTGGCACTGTCAGAGCATATCAGTATTAGTGCAAAGTATAACAAAAAGCTGCAGGTGGAACAGCATCTCTTTCCTCTTCAGCCAGCTTCAGCCATTTCCTTGTCACAAGAGGTCTTACCAGACACAGAACAGAGTCACTCAGGGATAGTTTTTGTAAATTTATGGCAGGAGCTATCAACTTTTTTATATGAAACAAAAAAAATCTTTTCTTGCCGGTGACCAACGCTTTGTTTCTGTCATTGCAAGAAATAGCCAGGGATGGCTTTTGGATTCAGTTCCAAAGAGGTGACAGAGTGACTTCAGTGTTTGCTGCCCCTCTGCAAGTTCCCTAAAGCACTAACACAGTGTGACAGCTACAGCAGCTTGGCAGGTTTAAACCACATGGCCAAGGCCACTCTTTCTGGGGCTGGGAAAGCAAAAGCTCAACACAAAAGCACTTTCATAGTGTCAGCTGAAATTTTTCTCTAGATGGTAAAGGAAAAAAAAAAAAAAAAAAAAGAAAAAGCAAAACCAACCAAATTTGGTTCTCTTGGCTTTAGAGAGAATGATGGGGAACATGTGTTTCCCAAAATATCCGTGTTGATAGTGTTGAACAGCATTGGGTGAGACCAGGCTGCAAGATGTGGATGCAACACTAGGACTGTGCTGTGGTTTAGGAAGTTTTTTAATGTAGCAGAATTTAGTGTTCTTGTATTTCCAATATAAATTGAGTTGTCTTAACTTTTCCTGTATACAGTATTTTGGATACTTGACAATTTGGACCGTCAGTGTTATTTTTCCGTGTTCTGCTTTACTCTGCTTTGTTTCCTAGAGCCCTCGCTGGACATGCCATTGCTGCATTTGTTCCACCCAAACAAAGCATTGCCACTTGTCCCTTGGCCAGGGGAAGCAGGGACAAGGATGGGGCAGCCCCAGCCAGGTGTTCTCTGTGTAACTCACACATCACCACTGCAGTTCTGCAGCTTCTCTCTGGTTACCTTCTTAATGCCAGCTCTTCATCCAAGCCACCCAGTGCTGATTGCTGCCTCTAATTGTTCTGACATTCCTTTGCACCCTCTGGGCATCCACTGATCCTCCTCTGTGCTGCTTTCAGGGTACCTGCAATAAAGGAGAGACAGGAAAGGGTTGGGCCAGGGTAGCTCTGGGAGCACAATCTGCAGTCCCACCAAAGGCAGCCTTCGTGTGACAAACCAGCAGAGCTAGGAATCCAAACTTTTCATTTTTTTTCCAGTTCTGAAATGCACAGTGGCATCTCTAACGAGAGAAAGGGGAGGTGATTCCCCCCCCCACCCAGCTCATGAGAGCTGAAGGATGGAATTCATTGTACCATTGTGAATAATATTCAGGTTTGTACTAATGTATTACCTTTAACTTTGCCAAGAATGTTTTACATAAATACCAAGCTATAAAGCATTCTTGTAGGGGTTTTTGTTTGGGCTTGGTGGTGGTTTTCAAACAGCCAAATTATGGGAAGCTCCTGTTTTCAATTCAGTGAAATAAGGGAAAGTCCTGTTAGAACACTTACAGTGGATGGAGGTGACCAAGTCCAGGGCTGTTTATCAGTTTATTCTTGGACATTTGTTCCTGGTTCTTCTCTAGAGAAGACAGGGTAAAACTCACAGGGCCCATCTCAGATACTGCTCGAGGAGGAACAAAGTAGGAAATAAACTATCCCAATTTACCCTTCAGAGTGGTTAAATAACAGCTGAAGGCAGGAGAGAAGGTACAGAAATAAATGGTTTGGCCATAGCTTCAGCCAAAGCCATTCCATACATCCTCTGTTCTCTGACTTTGATTTTGGGAATAAAGTTTAACCTCACTTGAAGGGCTCTCTGATCTTCAAAAGAGAGTAGGGAAAGTGGAGGCAAATGATGGGATTCCAGTGCAGGAGACAAGTGCCTCTGTTTCCACTCCTGCAGCAAATCCTGCTCCATGCCTGCGGCTTGTGTCTGAGTTAGACAAACCAGCAGGAATAAAACAGATCCCAGCTCCAAGTTCCAATGAAATGTAGGCCATGAGCTCTGTGATAAAAGTTAACAACAGAAGAACTTCAGTGAGGTGCACGTGGCCATCAGGGAGAATCAGATTTACCCGAGATGTTTAGGAGGAACAAGGTACCTGCCCAGAGCACTTACCCACCTTGTCTGAGTCACTCATACCCTGCTTGCAGTCAAGTCAGAGTCTCTATTTAAAAGCTGCTGGGCCCAACAATAATTGAACTGAGGGCCCAAGATACCAGTGATGTGGTAGAAGAGACTGAGAGGCTGTAGAAATCTACAGGGGAAAAAAAAATCATTTCTCTGTCAGCTGAAGAAAAGGGGAGACGCCGTGGGTGGAATTAATTCTGCAACCATTTATTTTCATCAAATGCTAATAGTTTGAAATAACACAGTTCAGGAATGGAAATATTCCATATAAAAAGAACATTAAGGCTGTTCATACACACAGGAGTTTGCACAACAAATAAGAGGTGATGTAGCGTGCAATTACCAGATTTAGGGGTGTGGCAGTGACAAGCTGTTTCACCTTTTTTCAAATTAAAGCAACTCTATTATATAACCAAGAGGGACAATGAGGGATTGGGTGAGTAAACCCAGCCACTCACTGCCCTGCAAGCTGTGATAAATGCATTTATTGCCAGGCTTGTGGCGACGTTATGCCCTTACTTTTCCAAATGGACAAATTACACATCCTGAGAGTGCAACACCACCCTCCTTTTACCCTGCAGCTCTGAGCTCTGTGAAGAGCATCACTTACAACCCATCCGTGTGCTACGCAGGCTCTGCCCATCTGCAGGACAGTTCTGGGGAAAACCAGCTCAGAGCAGATAAAGCAGGATGTGCATTCACACCCATTTCTCGTCGCAGAGGGAGGGGCAGTTCCAGGCAGCCTGGTGGTCTGTGCAGCAGCCCGGGGCAGGCTCAGGTGTCTGCCCTCAGGGGGGCTCTGCGCTGTGACCGTCGCAGGGGCTGGCTGCTCCTCCTGGCTGGGGACTCCACCTTCCACTCCCGAGGCCGGCTTGGGCTGCAGGAAGGAACCAGAACAACCCTGCATTTCCAAGCCTTGGCCAGCCTTCCTGCCTGCAGTGCCTGCTCCAGCCCCTCTCTGCCTGCAGTGCCTGCTCCCCTGCCCCAGCCCGTGCTGCACTCACGGTTTCTCCGGCGATGTCAAACAGATGATATCCCTTGGCTCATCCTCAGGATCTTTCTTCACTGCAAACAATACGTATATTTTCGTATTTTACAAAATGCCACCGCGGTTTGGTCATTTGGGGTTGTTTTTCCTTCCCCTCCCCTCAAATAAGAATCCCAGAGATGACTTGCCTGGTGCTGAACGGGGTGTGTGCATCAGGCTGATGTAACTGACCCCAGCACTGAAAGTCAACTCATTAATGGTCTCTGGAAATAAAAAAAAAAAGTCACATATTAGCAGCCTGTGACACAGCCAGAGGGCAAGGCACGCTGCTGTGCAATACTCAAGTGTCACAGAGTAAGTAAATCCAGTTAATTGCAAACACACATATCTATCTCTTTCTCCCAGACCTCAGGGTCTCCCATCCAGCCTCAGTGTGCTGAGTCTGATGGGCACATCACCTCCAAATTCCAGCCTCACAGCCTCCCTGGCTGGGGGAGATGAGTGTGGGCCCTTGGTCCTGTGCCCCCTGCCCTGCTGGCAGGCACAGCCACCCCTTCCACTGAAGCTCTGCCATCCCTCCCAGCAGCACGTTCCACACAGACCAGTTGCTCCTCTTACTCAAGGCAGAATCTGAAAACTGCCAAAGGCCCTGAAGAGCCTCTCTGTGAGGAGCTGCCTGCAGCCAGACAAGAGGAATCACTTGACAGGGGAGCTAGGTAGAATTTAGCTTGCCTGAATAGGCCCTGGTTGTCAGCTGTCTCTTTCCTGTCATTTATCTCAGGAGAGATGTCACAATATTCAGATTTTACTTAACTCAACGCTCTGTTTTATGCTTGTGTTTCCCAGAACCTTTCACAAGGAATTAAGGTAGGAAGTGCTTTATAGGGCAGGAGTTGGAAACTCAGCTAAAAGGACTTCTCTTCACAGCTGAGCTGGGTTTGCTCTTTAACTCCTGCCCTGTCCTGGAAGGGAATCACTGAAGCTTAGAGCAGAAATCAAACTTGATCCATCTGCTTTAGCTCTGCCCTGCATCTGCCAGGACTGACCTGTGCCAGTGACTCTGTGCAGTGTGGGCCTGAAGAAGTTACCTTGGTAAGGAGATATTTATGGGGAAGGAAGGGAAAGAAAGGGGGAAGAAATGATAAAGATTAAATGGAAAAGAAATGGGGAAAAATGGGGGGGGAAAGGGGGGGAAGTAGGGCTTCCCTTGCAGTGTGTTATCTCCACAATATGTTTATGTACAATCCCCCCTCACCCAGCTCTACTGAAGCTGTTCCCAAAGCACCAAGGAGCTGAGGAGCCTCAAAGACAGAAGGGAAGAGAGAACACAGCCAGAACAGCTGAAGGAGGCAGAAAGAGGGGACAGCTGCTCCCAACTTCTCAAGTACAAACCTATTTACAAAGAACTGCATCTCCAATAGTCTCAGAATGATACACCAGAGGAATAAAATGTTTTATTCTGGTTGTCTATCAGCCTGTGCCACCATACAGATGGCTCAACACACGCTGACTGAAGTGATGCTCCTGCTCTGTACAGTTTGTCTCCCTGCTGAAGGACACATGCTGCCTCGAAGCAAAGCAGGAATTCAGCTCTAGTACCACTGCAGATTAACATTTTCCCTCCTTTTTCACCATATGGTGCTTTAAGAGCAACAGCCGTGCAAGCTTCCAGGAGACCACAGCACTCAAAGAATCCTGCTCTCTAAAAACACTTCTTGCATAAAACCCCATTTTTTTTTTTTTTTTTTTTTTTGCTTGCTGCTCAGGCAAAGAGAAACATTGAGGCAACAAGTGCAGCCCAGCACATGGGGAAGGAAGGATCAGATTTTCCAGTGGCTGCACACCAGTGCCTGCTCAGGGCTGTCCAGAGTTTGCAGGGTGGCTCTCCTGTGTGTGAGGGGCACTGCCACAGCTCCCTGGGGATTCCAGAACCTTCCCAAAGCAGCCCCAAACCTAAGGAGAGCTGTCAGTCCCACAGCTCCCTGGGGATGCCAGCCCCAAACCTAAGGAGAGCTGTCAGTCCCACAGCTCCCTGGGGATTCCAGCCCCTTCCCAAAGCAGCCCAAACCTAAGGAGAGCTGTCACACACTCACACCTGCAGCTCTCTCAATTCTCTGCACCTCACAGCACAACAGAGATGATCTAAAGGAGTTCAGCAGCACATGGATGGAAAGGAAAGGGATCTGCTGCTGGAACTCAGCTCCATTTGGGTTTTGCTCTAGGTGCCTCTCGTGCCTGCAGGGCTGTCAGAGAGCATTCCAGGCAGGGCTCAGCTGCAGTGACAAGCAAAGACTCACAGTGAGCACTGGACATTGCTCTCTGTGCATTTCTGCAGCAGTAACCAAACCACACCATTCCTTCTCCAGTTCTGAGTGTGGAGCACACCCCCTCAGTGTCTGTGCAGGTTGTCAATCCCTCTGAGCAGATCCTGTGCTCCCTGCAGCTGTCACAGCCCTGTGCCTGCTCCAGGAGCAGCCCTGCAGCTCACCCCAGACCCTGCTGGACAACTCAGAGCAGGGAGGACCAAACCTTGAGGATTTCCCTGTGCAGCAGGGCTCTGCAGGGCACTCTGACACTGCTCAGCCGTGCTTCCAGAGCCAAGGAACTGCTCAGCCTTGCACCTTTGTGTCTTAGCAGGCTAGGTAATAATTAGTATGAGTAACAATTACTATAAATATTGGTTCTCCATGATTGCAGAAGGCTGATCAATCTCTTTATTCTACTATAATATATTATACCTATTAAGAAGCTTGTAACCCTTACAGACAGTCCAATACAGCTTTGACTTAATTGGTCAATCTCCCTAAACACCATCCAGTGCCCAATTAAGAAACCACCCTTTGGTAAACAAATCTCCATAACACATTCCACATGTGCACAACACCAGGTGCAGCAAGTGGAGATAAGAATTGTTTCTTATTCTTTTCTCTGATCTTCTCACAGCCTTCCCCAGGACAATCCTGGGAAAGTTGTGTTTCCCTCTGTGGCCAGAGAGCTGCTGTCACACCTCTGGGCAGGGCAGGCTGCTGAGGAACCACAGCCACCTTCCTCTTCAGCACCCCAGAGTCAAGGAAGGGAAAAGGGCATTGTCACCTCAGCACCCCAGAATAAATTCCCTCCTGCACTGACCCTGTGAGACGCACATGGAGACACTGGCTGTGCTTTCCCATGCACAGCTTCAGTTTCCTCATCCCTTGGTTTCAGGAGGGCTCTTCCTTCCTACAAGCACTGGGATAAATAAACAACCCATCATTTCCTACTCACCCTCTGGGGTGCTGATTGCTCTGCCCACCACAGCCATGTTTCCTCCACTGGACTGCTGGTTCAGGCTTTGGAAGGAGCCTGGAACAAGAAGGGAGTGACTGAGGCTTGCAGCGCACCGCGGCCTCTGCGTGGGGCCGGGCGCAGCAGAGCCGGGGCAGTTCCCACCTTGCTGGCTGCCAGCGGTGCCCGCTGCCAGGCTCCTGCCCACGCTCCTGCTGCGCTGCTGGCTCCGCTCCTGCAGCGCCTTCCTGGCCGAGTTCAGGATGGCCAGCGTGCTCAGGGAGGCGGCCCTAGGGCACAAACACACGGCACTGGCACCTCGCTCTGCACGCCCCCCGAGGGAAGGTCTGTGCCCTCCCTCGGCATCCTCAACGCCTCATGATAAGATTATGCTGCAACGGAGTGGACTTTGAGGCCGCTCTCTTAAGAAGGGATCAGCAAAGCAATATAAATAGATATAAATATAGAAATAAAATTAATAATATAAATAAATAAAATCTGGAAAGAGTCACGAGTTTTCATTATTATCTTTTTAGCATTGAGTAAGTATATTTTCTGTATTCTTTAGTATAGTATTCTTTAATATAATATAGTAATATAAAGTAATAAATTAGCCTTCTGAGAACATGGAGTCAGATGCTTCATTCCTCCCCACCCTCCCCATTTGCAGGGTCCCTGCAAATACAATACTTCACCTGCGAGATGAGCTTTTTCTGGGCCACCTGCATGACAGCATTGGCCATGGCCATCTCATCTTCATCAGCCTGAATGTCTTCCTCAGGTTTGGACCTCATACTTGAGAGTTTGATTTCTTTGCAGCTGAGGACTGCAAAGGTATCTGAGAGCAGCTCGCTGCCTTCCAGGTCCAAAGGAAGGACCTCATCCACAAAGCAAGCTGGAAGACACAGGCAAGAAATAATTTGTTTTTCCAGAAGCAGCAGTGATGGGCAAGCCAGGAGGATAAAACACCTGGATCGTGAGGTTTTATACAGACACCAGGTTTTTGTTTGGCAGATTTTTGAAGGCATTTTTAAGCCCTTACCTAGGATGCTGTGGCTGATCTTCGTGGTGATGCTGAACCTCTGCTCATCTGTGAAGTGGTCCAGCAGGAAGGTGTAGATCCTCATCCTCTTCTCCTTGTTTTCCTTCCCCTTCAGAGAGAAGAGCTGCTTCGCCCTGTGGCAGAGCACGACATTTTACAGAGGCCCAAATCACATTATGCCAGCTCCCAGGAATAATGAGACCTTAAATCAGCCAGGGATATTTGCATGTCACTTTTAAGACCCATAAACCTGCTAGGACAGCACACAGTCCTACAAATTACACACAGCAGTGTCACAGGGAAGGCAGGGCACAACTCAGCACTGCTTCCCCTGGCTCTTTTCCCTCAGTTGCATGGATAATTTTCAAGTGCCACAAATGCTGTGCTGTCACTGAGAGCTGCACGGCCAGACAGCCCATAATTTAGCAAAACTTAGCCAGGAATGTGCTCAACTGACCGCAGGCTCTGGGGAAACCTGTTGTACTTCTGATGCTTCTCGTAGCTGTTGAAATGGAAGATGCACTCGATGAAGTGCTGGGAGAACATCACGGGGTTCCTCTTCAGCAAGAGATGCACCAGGCAGAACTCTGCAAACCTGGAGAGGAGGAGAAGAAAGAAATTATCACTGGATAGCTCCCAAAAGCCACCCCTGAAGCTCTGTAGGGCTCTCAAGGCAGGAGGATGGTTTTCCTCTGCCAAGATTCCCTCAATACCACATTTAATTCTTGCCCAGCTCACTGACTTCCACCCTTTTCTCAGAGGGACAGACACTTCCAGCATCCACAGCACTACTCATTTTTATGGCCATTAAAGCAAACCGAGTCAGAAATAAATCTGAACTTGAATCCAGGCACAGCATTTTAATTATTTAAATAACCTGAGTTCCACGGTGGCTGAGAGAGAGCACTCAGCAACAAGTTAATCACCAAAGGTCCTGCAAGAGCTGCAAGGCAACCCCAGGCTTGAAGAAAGTGGTTTTGTCTGGATGCAGTCTCCAAATGCAGATGCAAATGAAAAGGCTCCCAAAGAAATGGGAGGAACACAATGCTGCAATGCCACCATCTACTGGAAAGACATTTTTAGATATAAAAGACACTGAAGAGAAAAGGAAATGTGAATGATAATTGACAAAAGGTTGATGGTTCTGGGAATATCCATCTCAGACTGACTGTTCCAGGCAGAAGTGAGCAGCAAAGTGTCCAATCCTCCCCTGTAACCCTAATTTCTACATGACCTCCCCACCAGAAACCTGCCCCTCTCATTTCTCACATAACAGAGCAGCTGGAGACCTTGAAACCTCCAAAAACTTCCTAAGCATGCACTTACAATGACAGTGCATAATCCCTCTGACACATCATTTGACAGGTCATTCCTCTGACAATTACAAGATGTGGCAGAAGGCTGAAAAGGCAAGGCATTCAACACAAGAAAAAGGAAACTGCAACAAAATATTTAATCTTAGTTCTTAAACAAACCCAGCACTTGAGATAGAGCCTGTCAGAAAACCATGAGGAAGATTTCACAAGGCTCTGTCTCAAAAATTCCTTTTTTTCTGTATAAAAGAGTCTTAAATAGAGCAGAGCTGAATATTCTGAGGACAGCCAAGGACACTCTTTGGGACTTGCAAATGACCTGGAGAGAGGCTCATCACCTCCCTGCCCACACTGCAGACCCTAAAGGAAGTGCAGAGGTTAGAGGGATAATCTCCTTTATCACTGAAATTTCCCTTCACAATGTGACCTGCCAAGACTGAGACAGGTTTTGAGACATCTCTGACCTTCACCTCCTCCATCATTTCCCAGCTGAGATTTTTACCTGGCAATATCTGGGTCTGGATCCACCAAGACACTGACAAAGCGAAAGAAGAGACAGTCCTTCCATTTCACAAACTCCTCCTGTGAAAATCAGCAGAAATCAACAACCTGAACCGGAAAAAGATTAGTGTGAACCTCCAAATTGTAGTCAGGTAAATGAACAAGCTGCAAAACCACAGCCAGGGGCACATAAAATAAACCCCAAAACAACCCCAAGTGTTTTGGGGGATGCTCTAAGCAGCATAAATGCCTCAACAGCACACTGAGGTTTAGCCCAGGTATGAAGAATAAAGTAGAAAAATGAAAAATCTGTTCTCCCACCCCATAGCAGGTGTGCTCTTCAACACGGTTTTCAGAGCCAAATGCACTCCAAACCTGCCCTCATGTGAATGTTAGGAGGGTAAACATCTCCAGCCTCTCAACATTCACACCTTCAGAACAACCAGCACAGACAGCAGGAGAAAAAAAAAGGCATTGTGGTGTGTGGATACTGACAGCCTGGTCAGAGAGAGAAGCCAGATAAATTTTCCCAAGAATTATTCTGGGGAGCTTTGAGAAGGCTGAGAGAAAGAATTAAAACAATCTTGCAGCTGGTGTTTTGAACAGTTGTTTTCTCATAAGATGTTTACCAAAGGGTGTCTCCTTAATTAGCCAATGGGGTGAGGGGTGTTGATTAAATGACCAATCAGGTCCACCTGTATCAGAACAGTGTATAAAAGAATGAATTTCTAATAAACTCAGGTTAGCCTTCTGAAGAGCCCTAGAGTCTGTGTGTTGCTCATTTCCCCCATCCGTAATACAGCAACAGTCGTGCTTGTTACAGCCATCAACAGAGGAGTGAAACTGGAGGGATTTCAAAGAAACCAAGATGAGAAAAGGTGTGACCACTAACCAAAAACAACCTCATTATCCAACCGAGGTGCTGTCAACTCAGCTGCAGAAAATCCACTCACTAAACCCAGCCTGAAACACCCCAAACTCAGGATTAACGACGCCCTGAGCCCCCAGGCTCCCCGCAGAGCCCCGCCATCACCTGCAGCAGGTTGGTGAGCAGGATGAGGGTCTGCCTGCGGATGAAGGGGTGCGGGTCCCGCAGGCACAGGGAGATGTTGGGGATGTATCTGTCCCCCAGCGAGGTGTAGCGCACGCACAGGTCGCACAGCACCAGCGCCGCGTTGTTGCGCACGGCCACGTCCGGAGACACCTCCAGCTCCCGCGCCAGCGCCGCGATGCACTTCTTGGCCAGCTCCTCGTGCTGCAGGCACAGCTTCCCTGAAAAACAGCCCCGCCGGTGATGCCTGGGAGTTTAGGTTTTGTGGTTTTCAGAGCCTGGCACATGTCCCAGATTGCAGGGCAAGATGGATTCTATTTGCCATCTGTGTGGCAGTTGTCGCCTGTTCAGTGGGCAGTTGTCCTTATCTCTTCCACACCCAATCCTCCTGGACTGCTGCCTACACCCTGACCCACAGGGTGTCAGGCTGTGCTCTGCCTCTCTCAGTGTTGGTTTTATATTACTGCATTGTTTATTTTATCTTTTTATTTTCTTCCCTATTAAAGAACTGTTATTTCCTGCTCCCATATTTTTTGTCTGGGAGCCCCTTAATTAAAAATTTATAGCAATTTGGAGGGAGGGGGTTTATATTTTCCATTTCAGGGGAGGCTCCTGCCTTCCTTAGCAGGCACCTGTCTTTCCAAACCAAGACAGCACAGCTCTAAGCGCCGTGTAAAGTCTAGTGAACTCTTCATATTGTGGTCAGACAAAATTTCTCCAGGTGTGAGATCCAAGGACACCCAACGGCCTCAGGCTCCAGAAAGTACAAACAAAAGTGGACTGGGGGAAGCAAACTATGAATGACTTCATTAGCTGAAGCTGTAATTGGAGGATTAACCCCTGATATACAAATAGACCAAACTTAAATCTGTCTGAAAACCTCATTGTGGCAGTCATATTTTCTGGAATAATCCCTTGCCCCAGATGCTTCTCCTGGGAAGCTGAGAAGCCTCAGAGAAAAAGGAAAACAATAATTATCTGATTGCTTCTCCTGTGTTTTGCTGCTTTGGAATGTGTTTGGACATTGTTTACCTACAGGTGATTGTTCCATTGGTTTCACGTGAATTGTTTTGACTTAACGACCAATCAGTGCCAAGCTGTGTTGGGACTCTGGAAGGAGTCATGAGTTTTCATTATTATCTTTTTAGCCTTCTGTCTGTATACTTTCTGTATTCTTAAGTATAGTTTAGTTAAGTATTCTTTAATACAATATAGTATCATAAAACAAAAAATTAGCCTTCTGAGAACATGGAGTCAGATTCATCATTCCTTTCTCTGTCTGGGAACCCCACAAATACAAGACCTCATGACCATCATCCCTTTTGGGTGTAGCCTCTGTAACCCTGCCCAAGGTGCATCTATTAAAGGCCTTTAATAAATTCCCATTTATTCTCTTAATTCTGTCTAGCCTCTGTTCTAGGCAGCCACTCCAAGGCATCACCAGAGCAGCAGAGCTGGGATAAATTCTCCTTCCCAGGCCAGCTTGCTGCCTCCAAAATGAGCCAGGGAAGGAATCAGGAAGTAAACAAGGGAATAAACAAGAAACTCATGCTGGAACTTGATGAGCAATCTGCACGATCTCTCAGGGAGATGGTACACCAAGTTCTTCCAAACTCCCCTTAGACCTATGGAGTGGGTCTCTATGCCAAATTCCCTCCTTCACAGCAAACTATTTCTGTGTACAGGGTATTATTCAAAGCAGCTAAAAAGAACAGCCCCAGCTGTCATAGGCATAGCAGGGAGACACCCACCTCTGAGAGCATCACTGAACCAACCTAAAATAAAATAGCCTGCAATAGTTCTAACATCACTTCTCCCTGTTCCCAAGCACTGCACAAAAGTATTAAACTTTCCAAAGCAATTAAGGGAAGAATAATGCTGCCTATCTGCAAAAGAAACTTGTTCCTAATCATGGAAATATTAAAACCCAGAACTTTCACTTGGTACTCCTCAGAATCCTGGGAATGCAGCTGGCCAGGCTGCTCTGAAAGCAGCATTTCCCTCACATTGAGGAGAACAAGAACTTGAGTGCAGTCGTTCTGCTCTAAGCTACATCAACAGCACCAAGTTTTCTTCACCCTCTCTGGAGCATCTTACTGAAAGTGAGATGATCCTTCAGCTCCCAACTCTGAGCACAAGGACAGCACAGCTCTGGGGGACAATGCTAATTATTGACCACTATTAATGCATTAAGCACCTGGAGAAGCAGAGCTGGCAGGGTTCTGATGGTTTGCCCAACTTGTTTCCATGGATATTTGCATTGCCAAAAGCTCTGAGCTGGGCTAATGCCAACAGAGCACTGGGGCTCTCTGTCACAACTGCCAGAGCTTTACATGGAATTGTTTAGGTTGGAAAAGACCTCTGGGATCATTGAGTCCAACCTGTGACTGATCCCTACTCTGTCACCCAGCCCAGAGCTCTGAGTGCCTCATCAGGCATTCCAGGGATGGGGACTCCAAGCCTCCCTGAGCAGCCCCTTCCAATGTTTAACCACCCTTTCCAGGGAGAAATTCTTCCTCGTGTCCAACCTGACCCTCCCCTGGCACAGCTGGAGGCAGTTTCCTCTTGTCCTGTCCCTGGTTCCTCCCTCCTGCCAGGGAGCTGCAGAGTGACAAGGTCCCCCCTGAGCCTCCTTTTCTCCAGGATTCTGGGTAGAACTTCACCAGAAAGGCTGAGATACACAAAGGGCCATTTTTAGGGCAGAGTGGCACTTACCTAAAGTGATGAGTGCGTGAGCCCTGACCACGGGAGGCATGGCTGAGCCCCTGAACTGGGACAGTGGCTGGGAGCTGGGCATCTCCTCACTGTCTGTGCAAGCAGACACTGGAAAAGAACAGGTCAGGGATGGAAACAGGGCCTGGCACATAGTGGTGCCTGTAAATGCAAAGCTAAAGGCAGAGGGAGAGTGGCTCACCTTGGTCCTTGCTGCCAGAAGAGGCCAGGATGGACTGAACCAAAAGGAAGATGTGTTTGTCCACCTTGGCTGGGCACAGCTGGGCAGCCTCACCCAGCAGGAAGAGGTGTCTCACCTGCAGAGAGAAAGCAGCACTGCAGTCAAAAGGCAGAGGCTGAGCTGCAAATTAAGCCAGCAGGAGTCGGTTCTTCTCCAAAAAACAACTCTGAATTCGCTCAGTGCCTTCAAGGCAGTGGCTGGAGAACAGAAGGGGAAGCTTTGGAACAGAAATCCTGGGTGGGTGTGTTTAATATGCTCCAACACCACCCCCCCACATCTAATGAGACTGAAATACTCCTCAAAGCATTCCATGCATCTCTCCCAAACAGATCATCTCAGAAGTTTGAGTGGAAAAGCAAGGAAAAAAACCATGTCATATATCAAAAATACATGGGGTGCCATGTCCTTAAAGCAACTGCTGGTGTGTAAAACTGCTGTGGGCTCCCAGGCCCCCAAATACAAGATTTCATCACACACACAGGCCCTGCACATTCCTATGATCCCAGTTCTTGGCATGGATTTCGAGGAACACCAGCACCAGGCACACCTCCACCCTTTAAATAATCCTTGAAAGGGATTATTTAAAATAATAATCCCCAAACTTACCAAGAGATCTTCCTGCAGCTGCCCTGCTCCTTCCTCTTTGAGGACTATGTTGGAGATGTAGGTCTCACAGGTGGATACCAAATCTCCACACACCTGGTTGAGCAGCTCCTGTTCCGTAATTAAACAAAATTAATTCAACACTCTATTAATTAAACAAAAGGTAGCTGTAATATCTGTCCACACATGAATCCCTAATATCAAAGTCTTTATGTGCTTTTAATAATCTGGATCCCATTAAAATCCATCTGACAGTGCCTTAGAGCTTTAAAATTCTCCCTGCACATCAAAGCATGTGTGCAAGTGTCAAAACACCTTGGAAAATTTGGCTTTTAATGATCCACAGGCCCAAGTTTACTTCATTATAGAAATCACACAGACTTAAACAAAAAGGATTTAGGCGACTGTTTCATGTGCACCCAACACATTGGAGGTGTCTGTGGGAATTTTTAGATGTTGCTTGAAAAAAGCAGCTCCATTAACCAAGAAAACATGATGTGAATTCCTAAGAGTGGAGGGGAAACCCATGAAAAGCAGATTATCTACTACACTGTGGTGAATATAAAGCATCATTTCTAGTTTTCCACCATCTAAAAGTGGTAATTTTAATAACCAAATACATACATAAATGGTAACTGTTAGATTTGATGAAGTGACCAACTACAGGGACATGTGCATTTCATTTTAAGCCAACACTCTGTGATGGCTGTACCTACAGGGGAGGATTTTCTGACTGTCAATTTAAAAACCCAGAAACCATCACCCCACCCTGGCTTCTGAGGCACAGAGGGCTCAGTTCTGCCCATTATTTACTAAACTTGATTGGGATGCTCATTATAAAAGAGCTGCCATCTACACTGAAAGAGAAATATAAAACAGACACGAAGAGGAATCATCAGGGACAGAGACCTGCATCAATTTTGGCTTCTCTGCAATTGTGTCCAGGCTGAGATTTTTATTTTACCAACAAAATATGGCCTAACTTCCCACTAGGGGAGCAAAACAGAGCCATGGCATAAAACAAATGGAGGCAGAAAAAAGTTATGAGCAAGTTGAGAACTCCCTGTTTGGTCTCCAGGAAGAAGTCTTGGAAAAATGTGTATTTCCAGCAGCTCTGATGGAGAATACAGAGACTACAGCATAAATCTGTGGCTTCAAACTGGACCAAGCACAGCAACTGGTTTCCTTTAGGAAATTTCCTTTAGGAATTCTGTAAACTTGGACAAAAGGCAAACACAAGGTATTTCAGAGGTGTGTGGGGGAATACATTTGAAGGCAGAAGAGTTCTTACAAGCCCAGGCTTAGCCCCAGGATGTTCTCTGCAAAGAGGCAGAGCTGAGCAGAGCAGGCTCGAGCTGCTGGAATCAGAGCCCCTTTTTTAGAACTCATCATCCCACAGCTTGCAGACAGCAGCAGACACCCCCTGAGTGGGCAACAGGCTATTTTAAAAGGTGTATTTTAAGTCCCACCTGTGTCTCCTCTGGTGCAGCTGCAGAGGCCTGGCAGAGCTTCTGCAGGGTCTCCACAGCTGGGCTGATCACCTCCAGGGGACACTGAGACTCCTTCAGCCAGCTCTGGATGTTCTCTGGGGACAAGATCACATATAAAACCAGCGTTTTCTAAGCTTTTCAAGTGTTTGTGGAGGCACAAAACCTCTGCAGGTGGCCAGGACCACTCACCCTTCAGCCCCTCGCAGCTGCCCTTGGGGAGGTGCTTTGCCACGTGCCCAATGACACACAGGACGTGTCCCACGGTGCCACTGCTCGTGTTCTGCTGCCTGCAAAACCAACAGTGAGCCCTGAGCCACTCCACCAAACCACAGCTGAGCAATCCTCTCATCTGGGACATGCATTATTAAGGCAGACCTGTCAAAGCCAATGAAAACTCAGAGGGCTTGAGGAAAGAGTTGGTTACTGCGAATCTCAAAGCCTTTGCTGGATTTCCAGCTGCAGAAGTGACAGTTTGAAGGAAAAACTGGGATTTAAGCAGCTACAAGGCAATCAGTGGAAGGGCACTGAGGGCTCCCTGGCAGAATGGAGCTCAAAGCACACACTGACCTGCTGACACTGTCCCAGGAATCAATGATCTTGGAATAATCCAGCTTGGGGGAAGAGCCAGCCACCTTGGCAAGCAACATCCAAGCTGCCCTGGAATGCTCTGTCTCCACGTGAGACATGACATTATTGATGAAAGTGGAGGTGAACTTCTTCTGCTTGGACCACATAAGGAAGGCTTTGCTCAGGTAACGGCTGCAGGGAGGAAAGGAAAGTTTAGGGAGAAATAAAGAAAACAGTCAGGAAAATCCAGGAAAAATCCAACACAACAAAGCTGCTATTGCCTGGCATTGCCACAGTTCACACTGAAAATTTCCACATATTTTCACTACATTTTACTATATATTTTTACTATATTTTACATCCCTACACGGGTGTTGTGATCTGGGGCAGTAAAGACAGAAGGTCCAACCGGTCCCATGACACATCAGGAAATTATAATTTCAGCAATTTGTAACCAAAACTTTCCAGCAGTTCTTATTTAATACCCAGAGTCATAATGATGCCTCAAGCTTTAGATTTTCTATTTTTCTGATTCTGTGCTGCTTCAGTGTGTGGGTCTGGGTTCATATCATGGGATGGTGAGCTCTGTGCACAGAGCAGGGAGACAAAACAATTCCTGCTCCAGCTGGGCACCAAGGACAAATGATCCAAATCTCAGCCCAGGAGCACAAACCCCGTGGGCTGGAGAGAGAAAAGCAAGCAGGATGGGAGTGCAGGGGCTGAGCTGGAATTGGACACTGAACTGCAATGTGCACATGGAGCAGAGCTGATCCCAGGGAGAGACCCCGTGAGCGCTCGTGCATTTTGGGACCATTTGGGTTCATCTTGGGTGCAGCCCTGGCTGGGCTCTTGTGCTGCCCAAGGTGCATCCATGGAGGAGATCCTTTGAATCAATCCCTGCTTTATTCTTTAATTCCATCTAATTTCTGCTCCAGTTCAGCCTTCACAAGGCATCAAGAGGATGGCCTAAATTGGAAGGGACCTTGAAGATCATCTCATTCCACCCCCTGCCATGGATAAGGGCACCTTCCACCAGACTGGGGTGCTCAGAGCCCCATCCAGCCTGGCCTTGAGGGATCCCTGGGATAAAGGCACAGCAGAGTCATGCCAGGCATCACAGCCTGCTCGTTTTTCTGCACAACCCTAATTATCTACTCCACACTGGTAGAGCTGTGAGATTTCTCAAGCTGCAAGGTCCTGCAGGGTCAGGAGGAAGAAGGTGCCAGGAATGTGCAAGCCCTGTTAGAAAATGGCCCGAATTAGAACAGTGACAGCTCCCCACACTGGCACGGCAGCACCACCAGTGCCTCATCTGCTATTTCTGAGCTATTATGCCCTGTTGACTAATAAACATACAGCTGTCTTTAATCAATGTTGTGTCCTTGTCATGCTGTGTGTCATCCCATTTCTCCCTCTCCTTCCCACGGCAGGCAGGATAATTCGATTTGTCACAAGACAAGTAACATATTGTACATAAGAATTAATACAAGGTGATGTTCTTGCTTTATATATCCTCTCTCGCTTCTGTCAGAGGAACACCTCCATTTGACTTAAATATTCATGTGCTATCAGTGCATCCAGCACGGGATGTGACAAAGAGCACTTCAGTCCAGGGAGAGAGCACAGGTAACAGGAGCAGCAGGTGAAAACATCTGACAAAGCAAAGCTGTCCATGCTCAACAGCCCTGTCCTGGGAGCTGGCAGGGCAACACAAGCACCTCAGCGTGGTGGTTTCCATCCCCAGAATGATACTGAGGCTTTCAAGCAGGGAATTTGAGCAGCTTCAAAGAAATCCCTGAGAAAAATTCGGTTTCTTGTCGTCACACAGCAGACAGCACGTGCATCTTAACAGGGTGTGTGTGAGCTGTGGTATCTCACAGTCTGTGGGCACACAGGGAATGAGAAGACAAACTCAGACTCTTATCTTAGTCCTCACTCAATAGGTAATTTCCTTCTGTAAAGGAAAAGTAGTGTATTCTAAGGGGATTAAAAGTGAAAAAAAAAAAATCCCTTTGGGGTTTATCCCTGAATGTTAACATAGGCAGGGGAGGGAAAAATGCACTTACCTGAGCTCCTGGCTTTCTGAAGACAGCAGGGAGAGCAGATCCCACGCCAGCTCCTGCCTCCCATCATCGCTCCTGAATTTATTGTAAGGTTTTATGTGCTGCAGCAAGAGCTGATCAAGGCAATCCAAGGCCTTTTCTTGGACAGAGCTTTCTGCATCCATCACCACAGGCACCACTCCGTCCAACCAGGCCTTCTGCACCAGGACATTGCTCTGCTGAGACTGAGAGAAACACATTTTTAAACCATTAGGGGATCCCAAATGCACGGGTAAGACCAGCAAAGGCCTCCAGGTTCAGCTACAAACTTTGAAACTTGAATTTTAATCAAGCCCAGCAGTGTGGCAGCAGGTGGGACAGGGAAACTCAGCATCACAAGGTCTTTAATCATCTCTATGATAAATACCTGGTGTTTCTGCTAAAGTACTGCAACACTTTGTTTTGAGACTCTATAAAGAATTATAACAGGTTTGCAATAAGGCTGTACAGCAGATGATTTAGCACTAAAAAAAAAGAGCTTTGCTTAATATAAACCCTATGCTCCAAGCCTGAGTTACAAACCCCTTGTGAATAAATAGAAAAGAAAGAAAAATATAGCATTGCTATCATCCACACATTACATCTGAAAGTGATTCAGGGTTTTTTTTAACTTGAGAAGGCCAGCAACATAAACATTTTCTTCATGACACATAAATCAACAGCCAGAAAAATCAGTGTTTCCAACAGTTGGAAGCACTCTGCATAAATCACAAGTAGGTATCAGAGTGAGTCATGACTTCCGAGTCAAAAGGTAATGAAAAGAATTAGAGCAGCCTAAAATGCAGCTCCCAGAGTGAATAACTGATTGGTGAGGTCCCTCCTGCTTTCCCCCCTTCCTGGGTGTGGCAGAATTCCCATTCCCCTTGATGCCTTAGGATTTTAGCTTTTATATTTTTCAAATCCTGAGCTGCTTTAGGGTATAACTCTAAACTCCATACAGAGTGTCAGCTACTGTTTATTCAGACAAAACAATCCTCTAGGGCTCTAACTCAAGGGCACCTCACTGTCTCAGGCCCCAAAAAGTACCAACAAAAGTGAATTGGGGGAGGAGCAAACTGGGGAAATACTTCATTAGCTGAAGGTGTAATTGGAGAATTAACCCCTGATGTGTGAATGGACCAAACTTATCACTGGAATTAAGGGTGACCCCTGTGGAAGGGAGAAATGACGGGGAGGACTCCATTGATATCAGAAGGCTAATTAATTACTTTATTATACTATATTATTCTATACTATATTAAACTATATCTAAACTGAATCTGCACAAAGCACTCAACTAAACTGCCCAGAATCTCGTGAGTGTCAGCCCACAGTCCCAACTCACACACACACCTGGCCCTGACAGGCCAGGGAAACAAAACCCCATCACTCTGGGTAAACAATCTCCATATTGCATTCCACTTTGGCACGGCACAGCAAATGAGATAAGAATTGTTTTGATCATTCTTTTCACTGCTTGTCTCAGGTTCAGAGAATGTGAATCCCACAACTTATAATCGTGTGAAAAACTTGTGACCATCGTCCAGCTTGGGTGTAACCTCTGGGAGGCTCTGACTGCCCAAGCTGCAGCTACTGACAGTCTTTAACTGTCCCAGATTGCAGGGCAAGATGTGTTCTATTTGCCATCTCTGTGGCAGTTGTCTCCTGTTCAGTGGGCAGTTTTCCTTATCTCTTCCACACCCACTCCCCCATGTCGCGTGAACGCTGTATTACGATATAAATGTACCCTTAGATTTGTAGAAAACAAGCACTGATCACACCTCTATGAGAATTCGATCTTTGTCTCCAAAGGGCTCCTTCCTTTTCCCCCTACCCCCTCTCTCTCTTTACTCCTGCCTTCCTCAGCAGGCACCCGTCTTTCCAAACCAAGACACAACACAAACACCCATTTAACCACGCCCGTCTTGCCCGGACTGAGCTCTGGGCAGGCTCACCTGGAGCAGCTCGGTGATGGAGTGCAGCGCCTGCTTCCGCACGGACACGGCGGGGTCCCGGCAGCGCTCGCGCAGCACGCCCAGCTCCTCGGCCGTGCAGGGCACCATGCCCTGCTTCAGGAGGCTCACAAACACCTGCCAGGCAAACAGCAGCACTCAGGTGCATTTCAAAGCTCCCACAGAGGCGTCTGCAAGGTGGTTGGTTGGATTTGGAGCAGAGCTCAGTAAAAAGGGGTTCGAGTTCCATTCTGGTGTTGCCATTTTCACTGATAATCACAAACCACGTGTGCTCCACTTGTGGAATTTTGTCAGGGGCAGCTTAAAAACTGGTGGTCAAAAAAACCCTTGTCCCTCCCCACCGCTTTGCAGCCTTCAAAATATTTTCATTAATTACAGTAGGAACACTTTAACCAGACAGAATTACTGAACATGACAGGCATCTCATTGCACTTGCCTTGATATTTGGAACAATTGCAAGGAGGGCAATATTGGGAGTCCAAACCCAACTGATCCTACCTAGACCCCCGCTGTCCTATTTAGGCTTAGAAGTTCCTGTTTCACTAGAATGCAGTTGCCATGAACTTCCTTCTTTGTCCCCAAATCCCTTTCCATTTTGGACTTCAGTAATGGTTGACCCATCATTTAGGTTCAGCTGGGCTGGGCACGCCAGGGGCACTGGGTGGCAAAGGAAAAAGACAATTTATCCCCTGCCAACAGCAGCCAGGGATTCATCACACCCAGAGTGAAGCAGCACATTAACGATTCATGAGTGCTGGGCACAACCAGAGATGGAAAATGAATCAGAAAACATCATTCCAGTCACTGCTGCTCTGGAACAGCAGCTGGAGAGGGAGAGTGTCACAATTTCCCCTTGAAAGCAACGTGCCTCTTGTATGAGACACTGTTTTTACTTCATAATAAGGAAGAGGGATTTATTTTTATTCTTAATCAGAAAGCATTAAAATATGAATTGCAAAGCCCTAACTGGGAAGCTCAAATCAGTGTGTGAATTGAGGGGGAAGAGCTGGGGTGAAGAGGACTAACAGAGGAAGGCAGTCAGCAGCAGACACCTCTTTTTTAAAACAAGGAAATTTCCATTGAAGCATCTCTCTTTAAAAGGTAATGACTTCATTAAAGAAATGAGCAGCAAGGAAAGCAGCACAGAGCTCAAAAAGAGGCTGGATATAACCTAATCCCTTTGCTAACAAGGTCAAAACAAACTAAGCAGCTAATATGCTTCAGTTTATGAGGAAGTCTCTTAATTGAAATGCCTATTGACATTTGACAAGAGCCTCTCCTTGCAAATGACGGAATAACAGAATGCCAGCAAGGGTACTAGAGAAATTTCCATCATTATGCCTGCATTATTTACTTATCAGGAGCTAGTAAACAAGATCCTAAATGCCTTTAAGGCACTCTGCAGGGAGAGCAGGAAGCTACAAGTGGGCAAAGTGACAGAGTTTGCAGCAAAGCTGTGGCCTAATTAATTATTTAACAATTTTGGGTAGTCACTGAGAGCAGGGAAGGATGCAAACCCCACCCTACCTGCAGGGCAGATTTCCTCACGTTGGTTTTCTCATCTCCAGCTCTCACTCTCAGCATGGCCATGACTTCTTTTTCTGTCCAAAATGAGGATAAAAAGGAATTACCCCCACGAAGAAGGAATTAACCACAGCACCGGCTGGAAGCACACAACCCCAGCATGGTTTGGGTGGAAGGGACCTTAAAGCTCATCTTGTTCCACCCCCTGCCATGGGCAGGGACACCTTCCACTGTCCCAGGTGGCTTCCAAGCCCCATCCAGCCTGGCCTTGGGCACTGCCAGGGATCCAGGGGCAGCCACAGCTGCACTGGGCACCCTGTGCCAGGGCCTGCCCACCCTAAAGCAGCACAAACTCAGTGCAAAAACAAACTCAAATGGCTTCCCAAAACTTTGAGAAGGACTGAACAATTAAAATCACCCAGAGCAATCCAGAATGAGGCATAAGCCAGAAGGAAAAAAAAAAACCCAAACAATTCCCCCACTTCTTTCATTTGAAAACTCATCTTCATACATCACAAAAGAAAATGATGGAACAAATTACTTCAGACACACAGCAAAAGAAAAATTAAAAAAAAGGTGAATCTGTAATTTCTGACCTCTTCATTTGTCTACACAAAAGATGTCAGGCTACCTTCAGAGACTGAGAGCTCAGCAGATGAGTCAGGCACAGTCGGTGGCTCAGGTAACCCTGGTACCTGTGGGAAGAGCTACCTGGGCAGAGCTCAGACAAAAGGAGCCAGCACAGAGCCAGGGGAGGCTCTGCAGAGCTCAGAACACCCACAACCTCCTGGGAGTTTTGCCTCAGAGCTGCACACAGCAGCAAGCATTAATGTATGAACTGCTGTGTGCTACAGAGGGAAAATTACTCCATTTGTTAATTCCTAGAGGCTGCAGAATGGCAGCTGCAAAGAACCACCCCAGAGTCTGCAAGGAAACCAGAACACATCTCTCTTCCCTGCACGTCATGTCAGGGCTCCAATTTCTCTCTGCACAGCCATATTCATACTTATTTCTGCATGTTGGCGGGGAAAAAATACATCATCAAGGCGAGAAGTTATTAAATGACACACAACTGAATACACAGATCAATTATTCCTCACATTTTGAATCACTAGGCTATTAACTGGCCATAAGGACTTCAAGCATTTTATCATGGCTTTTAAGGTTTTTATTTATTGCTGTTTGTCAGATTTCCCAAAGATATGCCAAATTTGGAGATCTGTTACTTAGAGATTCACATGGACATCCATCCTGTTGCCATTAAAAATAGGATTAGTCACAGGGAACTAAGCAAAACTAGCTTAAAAATACATTTTTACCAAAAGGAAGCAAAGGGACTTTGATCTGGGCTTTCTTAGTGGGCAGCTAAGTGCAGTTTCCATCCTCCTCCCAAGAGCAGCTGCACAGGAAGAGCACAGAACCTCCCCACTGCAAGATTTTGCTACTAACATAGTCCAGTCTTGTGAAGGTGACCAAATAATCACACTTTGACATTGATTTTTCTGATGTAGAAAAGAGGGGGGGAAAACCAAACAACAAAACAACCAAAGAAGCCAAGTTCTAATGAAATCTCAAGGGAAGGGAATGTTTGCTGCTGGTGGGCAGAGGGAATTCTGCAGTGCACACCTCACCTTGCACGTTACCCCACCCTTCTTATCTCTGCCCTTGAGCATGTTCTGACTGACTATCCCTGGCTGAGATTTATTTATTTTCTAAAAGAAATGAGCTGTTTAGTCTTCAGAGGAGAGCAAAATTAGCACAGGCACAAGCCAAGCACAGGCATGGGCCAGACAGCTTTGCTAATGCACCTTGACTGCCTCAGAGAGCCCTGGATTCCAGAATCCTCTGGAGCTCCAGACAGTCTTTTTTCATTCCAGCTTTTCTTAATTTGTTTTGCCAAGTGCCAAGTGTGTGCTCAGCTGGGTATCAGAGACAATCCCAGGCATCCTCTGGCACGAGGAGCCTGCAACTAAACAGGGAATTCACAATACCTTGAGTGGCCTGGAGGACTTTTCTATCTGAGGGAGCAGATTAAGGAAATTTATCAGCAGAGAGTGTTTGAAAAAGGGAGCTTTCAATGGGGGGAGATTGGAGCCTGGCTCCTGGAGATAGGGAGGGAGATCCCATGTGAGGAGCAGCGTGGAACAAAGGCAGCACTGCAGGATGTGAGGCAAGCAGAGAATTGAACTGTCAGCAGTTCAAGGGAGGTGAACAGCAAGAACTGAGAGCGCAGATGCTGGCAGGGGCCGAAAGGTTAGGAAGAAAAGCTTTTCCACACGAGAGGAAAAGAAAGGGAGAGGTTTAAAGGAAGAACAACCCAGCCACAAAAGCCAACTTGCATGGTGATTTCATGCTATCAACACATTAGAGGCAGCTTGCCGTGCTGCATCAGGACATTTTGTGTGACACTCTGCTTTCAGCTTTCAACCTGATGCTGCTGAGAAACAGATCTTTGCCTACAGAACAGAAAGGTGCTGTGCTTTACACAGCAAAATACATCAGTTCTTTGTGCACTGGAGCAAGAGATTTAATTACCCTGAAATTCATGGAGCTACAAGTGTTATATTCCACATAAATTATCTTTTGGGAAGAATAAATTACCTGCTTTTCAACAAGTGGTACCACCACATTAGAACCAACAGACATCTGCATTTCAGGACTAAATGTATTTTTCAGACTTGAGTGGAAATAGTATTTCTTTATGGCTGGCAATTCCACCCCCTTCATCACCCCTAAGTGTTTTGTAACAGCTTTCTCCACTTCCTTTGAGAAATGGACAATGAATACACTTCAGAAAGTCTGATTTCAATTAAGGCTTTGAATGCTTATCTGGAAAGGCTGCTTTAATTCTGACATACCATCAGGCCCAGCAGTGTCACTGCTGTCTGTCAGCTCGATAGTTCTGAAAGTTGGTAAGGTCCTCAGTGGTTGGTTGGACACAGCTGAAAGAAAAGATAAAAGCTGAGGAGTAATAAAGGCATATATTCACCTGGCAAGAAGATGGTTCAGGGTTAAACAGAGAGCCTCATGCATGCCCTAGGTTTAACAGATATGTGTATTTTTAGAAAATGGCATGCCAAGAAAAGCCTAAGACTTACTGGAAAAGAATGACTCTATACCTTCTGTACTGGCTGTCACACTGGCAGTGTTTGTGTTTGCTTCCAACGCTGTGTGGACAGAGGCTGCCAAAAAAGAGAAATAAAAAAGGAAATCAAACAAAGTATTTTAATTCTGGATATCCTGCCATTCCAGATTCTTTTCGGGCGAGCAATCCAACCATGGGATGCTGCGTGCAGGCTCTGAATCCTGCCATCTGGCCTTCAGCACACCTGAGGGAGCTCGGAATGCCAGTCACGAACAGAACAACTTAGCAGAAGCAAAAGGCAACTCAAGATTTAATCAGCTGTCAGGCAAGAATGAACTGCTTTTTTTTTTTTTTTCCAATGAGCAATTTTGGTTGTCTGTAAACATCCTTCAAAGGGACCTCACAGAGGAATCTCTTTAGAACTGGTACATGAGAATAAATCCCTTCCAAATATAAGGCTTCATAAGGAACAAGGCTGATGAATTACTGCTCATTATGACACAGTAAGGAGTAAGGACTCCGAGTGCCAGTTTTTAAGTTCCTGACAACTCCTACCTCCCAGCAATTATCCCCTTGAAAGTTCAAGAATGATTTTCATTACCTCATGTGCCCACAATACTCACAGCTCTGTAGTAAGTCCTGAATGCTCTCCAAGGTGGCAGCAGCTTTCATCTCCAGACAACAGGCAAAGCTGCTGAGAGCTTTGCTCCGGACCACGGGGGCTTTGTCTGAGCACCGGCCAAACACCATGACCTGCACTAAAAACTTGTGCTTTAGCAAACTCTGATGATCCTGGGACAAGGAGCTGCCTGGGCTCCTCTCTGGCAGCTCCAACAAAGCCAAGGCTACATCAAGAGCAAACACTCTGTAGGAAACCTGCAGGAAGAAAAAGCACACGAGGTGCTCTGTTAATGGAAGCGAACACAGAGTTTTCTTGCCTCTGGGTACCAGCAGTGACAGAGCTATTCAGTGCTGAGATTGAACCCTTCATCTCCAAAGCATCAAGGAGATGCACTTACTTTGGTGAGTGAGTATTTATAAAGCCAAGCGATGAATTCAGCGAACTCTGCACAGGGGAGTTTGTCCAGCAGGGTCACCAGAGCCTGGGCAGCATAGGTGCGATAATCAGCCTTGTCTGGCACCTGAAAGACAAGGCCAGGGTACCCTGTGTTACTCCACTGTTCTGCTCTCAATGCCAGAAAAGCATTTCAGGGCTTAAGAGAAGTGTTTTTTTAATTTAATAAGCTGATATGTTCATATTCAACAACAGTGAAAATCATCACAGCTTCCTCAGTCACTACTTCACCATCACACGTTTTCATTCCTTAGAAAAGATTGTGAAAACAGATTTCCTAAGCTATTAATGATGTTCCAATGTATCCACACAAGTTCTCCAGCCCCAGAAGTAGCAGAGCTTGGCATACCTTGGTACAGATATGTTGGAGCAAGATTCGCAGAACAGGATAAACAGCTTCTTTCAGCTCATCGACCAGAGAACTGCACAGGGGAGAGAGGGAGAGAGAGAGAGAGAAGCAGATTTTAACAAAGCTGGTTTATAACAGAGGAAAAGTCAAGGACATTCCTTTTGGAATGCATTTGAAAAGTCAGGAAAAGTGGCCATGATTCTGGCATCATGAGTGCAGCAGGCTGTGCTCAGAGAACCATCCTCGCTTTCCACATTAACCTGGCTTTGCAGGCACAAAAGAATTTCTTCCCATACTTTTCTAACAAGTAGAAGAGTAACATGAAAAGCTTCTTTGTTCTCAATCTACTTTTATATGTTGTCTGGGGATCTCTGTACAAACTATACTTCCAACAACAAGCATCCCAACAGGGGGAATAAACACAGGCAAAACACATCATTAAGCAGGAGAGAGCAAGAACTGTGGAGGAACAAGCTCCATGTTAATCTTTCATTTCCTCCACAATTCTCTGTAGTTAAACACAAGACTTGAAAAACTGACACAAAGCAAAATACAGAAAATGGGTCCTTTCCACAGCACCTTCCTCCCCCTCTGCCAGCAAGCTCAGTAAATTCCCATTCCAGACATTTTAATTAAGCCTCATTTGCACAAACAACTTCAAAGCCAGTGCCAGTTTGTCTCATCCCTTTATCACCTCAACAGCAAAGCAAAGGCACGCCAGAAGGAAGGAGCAGCCATGCTCAGAGCTCGGGATGTCACCTGATGAATTTCACAGCCTGGTTCCTGGCGCTGGTCACGGCTGATGTGATGGGAAGGGCCTCACGCCGGGAGCCCCCACTGCTCTCCACCATCAGAACGACACTGAGCAGGCGCTGGAACACGCACCGAAGGGTCTGCAAAGAAGGGGTTATTGGCAGGCTCTTTTCCATGGATGGGCACTCCAGGGTCATGAAATAATTCTGAACCAAGCTTAGAACCAAACAGCAGCACATGTGAAAGCGTCCTCTTGGAATTTCTGTGCTAGGAGTTACGCTTTCTAAATACACACGCTGCCTTTCCTGGCTGTGATGTTCTCATGCTCAGCAAGGTCTCAGAAGGGCTTTCTGAAAGCATGAACAGCTGCCCTCCAAACAGGGCAAAGTCTCCCCTCCAAAGTCCCCTATGGACTTTTTTTTTTTGCCAGAAACATTTGGAGTTTGAGGAAACTCACTGGGATTTGCATAGGAGATGTCTTAAGCTAAACACGTGTTTTGTACTTGAACTCTTGGAGTTGCCTCCCTTGCCACGTTTTTGGGACCAGAGCTTGCCTCATGATCCTGACATTCCCTGAGCAAGCAGGAGAGGCAGGGAAGATGAGGCAGGTCTGGGAAGGGGAGTGACTACACCTTGCTGTCACCACAAATATGGTGGGGACACTGAAAAAGCTCATGCTCCACTGAGAAACCAAGGAGGGAGAAACACACAGGCTGCTAGAGCTGGGCTGGCACTCAGGAATAACCAGGCTGGTGTGTACTCCAGGCTTTCCTGACCAGACAGCTGCTGATTCCCAGCCTGCAGGCTCAGAACCAGCCCAGGGGGTCACACAGACTCCCAGACACAGCCTGGGCACACCCAACCTTCAGCAGCCCCATGCAGAGCAGCAGCACTCAGGTGAGTGGGAGATGCCCTGCTCTGCTTGCCAATTTAAACAAACACAGATGGGAGCTTCTGGCAGAACTGGCTGCTCCACGATCCCAGAGTGTTCTCTGAACAAGAACCAGCCCTGCTCAGCCTCACTGAGCGCACAGAGCACTGCACAGCCCAGCCCCTCACACGCTGCCAGGCGGTGCTGCAGCTCCATCTAGCAGGGAATCACAACATTCCAGGCAAAGGCAGCCACCTGGAACTCTCTTCTTTAAGGTTCAGAGACCCAATGCCACTGCAGATCTTTGTTTTCAATTCATTTGCCATAAGAGTCAGCAGAGCATGGAATTCACTGCACACGAGTGCAGCAACAAATAGGGACTGGGTGGAAAAAATCATCTTTGCTCTGACCCAGCAAAGATGGCACAAAGAGGGAAACTGAAGTGAAAAGTAAAAACCATCCAAGCAAAAATGACGTGCCAAGAAGGAAAGAAGCAACCACTCCTTTTCCATGCTGCTGTGAGGATGTTAAAGATTCTGTTTAACTTTTACCTTATCTTCTGTGCCGTGGAGAGGGGAGCACAGTAAGTGAAGTCCGTAATAGGCCAGCTCAGGAATGTACTTGGCTTTATTAACATCCCTAAGGAAAGAAAGCAAAGATATATCTTCACCTCTCATCAGAGTAAATGTGACTATTAAAAGAGCTCTTTGACTGCAAAACATTCAATATTCACAACATGCTGTTTGCTGTTAGCATATGGTACACGTTCCAATTATCTTCATAAGTGAATTTGTCACTTTCGTTTTTATATAAACAGGACAATAACACAAGCACTGAGGGTTTTACTTGTTCAAACCATCACAAAAACACTAAGAATTATCAAGAACGATTTGCTCACATGGCTGATGAAAACTTGAACTCGTGGAGCACTGGCTCAAAGCTGGTCATCTCAACGAAGACCTGCAAGGGAAGAGAGCCAAGCTGAGCTCAGTCCCCTGAGGGGAGGGCGTGCAGGGCTCTGGATGTCTGGGGTCACACCACTGGGTTTAACTTTCAAACACCTCCCTTGAAGCAGAACAAAAGCAGAGCCCAAAGCACAGAATCTCTCCCCAGGAACAAGTGGTGGCTGCCCCTGCATCCCTGGAAGTGCCCAAGGCCAGGTTGGACAGGGCTTGGAGCAGCCTGGGACAGTGGAAGGTGTCCCTGCCCGTAGCAGGGGGTGGAACAAGGTGAGATTTAAGGTCCCTTCCAACCCAAACTCTTCTGATTCCATGAATAAAACACTTCAAGTGTTCAGCATGAGAGGCAGACAGAGCAGGCACCCTGCTCCCACATCTCCCCAGCTCCCCTCAGGGACCAGGTGATGGAAGGCAGGGCTGCCTCCTCCTCCATGTGGAGTGCTCTGCATCCCCAAAAATCTGTGCTAGGGGACATAAGGCTCACCAAGCTGGATCTTTCTTACCTGCACACAGTTCTGCATGCACTGAGGCTTTTCTTTTAGGGAGAACTTGGGCAGAAGCCTCAGGAAGTTTTTTAAAAGGAGGAAGATGGCATTGCGGATTTGGAGAAGATCTTCTGTTGAGAAGTAAACATTCTCATCATCCTCTTCCTTCTCCTCTTCCAACAGCTCTTCTATCTATATTGGCAGAAAAGAGAAACAGCTTGCCAACAATTTGCTTATTACTAGGGGTTTGTATCTGAAGAGATTGCACAAATAATCTTACACTGGAGCTGTCATTACTGCACAGTTTCCCTTTCTTCTTGTTCCTTCTGGCATTGGGCTGAGAGCTTTGAGCGTGTGCCTTTTTCCTTTTCTTCGTCTCTTGAGGCCAGCATTTTGTCAGGGTGTGAAGACATTTATCAAACATCACTTGGTGGAACACCTGGTTGGCTATGCTGCCTGCCCAGAAAAGACAAACATCAGTCCTCTTCCAGACAAGATACAGAGAACATCAAACCACCTGGGCATCATGTCCCACTCCTGGAAGTGTTCAATGCCAGGCTGGAGCAACCTGCTCAAGTGGAAAGTGTCCCTGCCCATGGAATGAGATGAGCTTTAAGGTCCCTCCCAGCCCAAATCAGTTTGTGGTTCTATGATCTCCCCCACAGGTGTCCCAGAGCCTAAGAAAGTTCAAGAGAAGAGTAAAGAGCTGCCTGAAGTGCACCAAGCTGATGCATCAGCAGCAGTGACACATTCCAGCAGGATCACCAGCTGAATGACCCTTCCAGCTGCACCTCAGGGCGTGCTGGAACACAAAGGGATCCAGCTGTGAACTAACCTACAGGAAACACTCAGCTGCTGGTTATTCTAAAACCTTATTTTTGTTTGCACAAACAAACCTGTGGGGGTACCAGTTGTCAATTTCTCTGGGTCTGGATTGAAGGCACTTGTGATGATAGTTCATGTTCAGAGGTAGGTGTTTATTATTTCTTATCAGTGAAACAGTCTCACTACTGTGAGTTCTGCAGCCTTTCATTAGAAGGCACAAAATGGCCAACAATCTCTTGTTCCAAGGTCTTTTAAGACTAAACTATCCAATTAAGAACTGACACCTAGATTATTTTCCCTTTTAACCCAATAACTGATCCCACAGAGCTGCAGTGTGGATTTTTCTGCTCAATTACCAAATGCCACCCAAACCCATGAAGCAGAAGAAGAAGCATGAAGAAGAAACCCAGGACAACACCCTGTGCCCTCCATCCAGCTTCCATCCACAAGATACTCAAAATCCCAAACCCTCAATTTCTCACCAAGTGATACACCTACACCACTCTCTATAATCTATTTCTCACTTTTGTGGATTCCAGTCTATCTTGAAGTCTAGGAAACTTTCTCCATGAATGAGGGTCAAAGTCAGTGCTGCCCTGGGGGTCAGGGCACCCCAGAGCAGACAGAGAAATATTCCCAGTGCTCTGGGTTTCCACACAAACCCATCCAAATGTGCTGCACAGTGAAATGCTCCCCAGTTACAGAGCAGGAATAAGCTCCTGCCTTGACTGTCAAAGCACAGGGACCTGTGTGGTTCCAGCTCTGTGCAGGCTGCTCTGTCACCTTGTCACAGGACACAGACCCACACTAAGGCCACCAAACCCCTCTGTGACCCGAGGCCAGGCTGCCACCAGCCCGTGACACCGCTCAGCACTCACGCCACACTCAGCTCAGCCCCTGAGGATTTCAGGGCCACCAACCCAACACCACCACTTGTTCCACCTGGAATTGTTACAAACCCCACCCTGCCTGGCCTGTGCTGTCCCCAGGCACGAAGAGGCACATCCCAAGGCTCACCTGGGATCTCCAGCAGCAGCAGGTAGAGCCCAGCTGAGTGCAGAGCAAACACCCTCTGCTGCCTGTTGGCTCTTTTGTGCTGGCCCACATGCACAAAGTGATGCAGCACGGCCACCAGGGCCTGGTGGGACAGGCTGTTCTCAGCAAACAAGGTCCAGACGTTCTGAGGCAAAACAGGAACAGTCAGGAATCCCAAATTAACAGTCAATAATCCCATAATAACATGGATGTCCCAAACCAGCCATTATTCAGTTTTTAACAGGTGCCACCATGACCAACTGCCTATGTATTATATGCTTTAAAAAGTGTTTTAATAAGTATAATAATTATATTATTATATAATAAGTATGATAATTATTAATATATTAATTAATAGCACCTAATTAAATTAATAATTGCTAAATTATATTGATTCTTAATAGCTTTATAATAACTATAATACATAAAATACAACTATAATATTATATATAATATGTGTATATATATAATGTATATAGTTATATTATAGATATATAACTATAATATAATAACTTTATAATAACTTTAATAACACTACATTTACTTAATATTATGCTAAGTCCTACTACTAATATTTGGGAATAGCTTCCTTTGGAAGCATTCCAGCACACAGAGCAAGAATTGTTTGCACAGTTTTTGAATATATTGTGAATTTCAAGGCAAGGCAGATGTGAAAAAGAGAAAGTGAGAGTGGCTGGCTGTGCTCAGGCGATGTCACCTCTCTGCTCCCCTGGTCCCCGGCAGCGAAGGGCGCCAGAGCGCGGTACAGCCCGGTGAAGGTGTCGAGCCCATCGGCCGTGATCTCCTCCGCTATCCAGGCATCCAGAGGCTCGGTCTCCGTGAAATCCAGATCCCACACCGTGTCCACCCACACTGAGAGAAATAAAAAGTGTTTATAAGCGCCAGGGTGGATTTCTCCGAATCACGCGTTTCACCCCAAAAAAAGGCTCCAAAATAAACACGGGCTGCCCAAATCCGGCGGGACACGGGCGCGCCAAGGGCAGCGGGTGACAGTGCCAGGAGCCTCCCAACGCCTGGGGTCACCGCACCCCGGTGACCGGGGCAGAGCCACCGGGACCGGGACTGACACCGGTACCGGGACAGAGAGAGAGAGAGAGCGGAGAGAGACAGAGACCGGCACCGGGACAGACAGACCGGGACACAGACTGACACCAAGACTGGGACCGGGACAGAGACCCGGACCGAGGCAGGACCGGGAGGGGGACAGAGACCGTACCGAGACAGAACGGGAGAGAGACAGAGACCGGGACAGCGACCAGGGCGGGGCCAGAGACAGCGAGAGTGGGACAGAGAGCGGGACCGGGAAACAGAGACACCGAGAGACACAGCCACCAACACAGGAAAAGAGGTCGGCAAATCGGCCCCGGCCCCGATCCTAACACCCCGCTCCCGATCCTGACCACGACCACGCTCCCGCTCCGCACCTGCGGCCAGCTCCGGCAGCCGCCACCCGCCGAGCGCGCTCCGCAGCCGCTCCGCCGCCATGGCGCTGCCGCCGCCGCCGCCCGACTTCGAACGCGCCAATGGCGGGCGCGGGGCGGCGCGGGCCAATCG